GTAGTCCAAGGTCAATCATCAGGGAATGGGTAAAGTAAACAAAGTGTAAGAAAGAAAAAGATTTTTAAAAAGTAGGACTAATAGGAAAGCAACTAGCAAAAGTAAAATTTAAAATTTAAAAATAATTTAGAAAACGAATTTCTAGTTTTGAGATCCAAATCTACTAATATTTATCGAAAAGTTATATTTATGAAATATTAATTATCTAAGTTGATTTCTGACGTCAGTGCAATCAACCGAAAAATATTTCGATGAACAAACAATTAATTTGATTGACTTAAAAATAAATTTTAAACAAATAATTAAAATACTTGTAATAAATTATAAACATTATTTATACCAAGAATATTAATCTAATTGATGAATAATTATACAAAGTATCAAATTTTACTAAGAATATTCAATCAATCGAATAAATAAAAGATTTAACATTGATATCAAAATAAAAATTACATAAATATAATGATCCAAATAAATAATTATAGATCCATCAACCCTAACTAGAAAGTACAAAAAGACTACTTATAATTCATGGCTGGATCTCCAAGAATTGGGGTGAAAAATAAAATAATAAAATAGGTTAAAAGGTTGTTAGGTTGGGAAAAGAATGGATCCCCTCTCAAAAACTTAAGGGTGTATTTATAGTAAAGTAGTGTTGGCACAAGTAAAAGCAAAGTAGAACTAGACTGATTGAAATTCTTCACTTGGATCAATCCAAAAAGAGTATGGATTGATCCTCATTAAATTTCTGCTCCGGAATCAACACAATAGGGATAGATCCCTTTTTATTAAGGGTCAATCCTTTTAAAGGCTCTGAATTGATTATGATATCATCTTGACTCTGGTTGGTGGCTTGAATCAATATGGTTTGGCTTGGCTAGGCTTTTTGGCTTCCTCCTTGCTTGACTCATGGATTGGTGGCTTGGGTTTGGCTTGAGTTTGGTAGCATTGACTTGGTCCTGATGACTTCTAGAATTGACTTAGCAATCACATGGATCGATCCTCTTTAATAGGGATCGAGCACTCCAATCTCTTTGTCACTTTTTAATATGCTCCTAGTCCATCCACTTATATAGTGGATCGATCCCTTCGAACTTTCTATCAATCTTCCAAGCTTTTTGTCAATCGATCCTTTCTAACTATGGATCGATTTCTTGCCATGCACATAATTTTTCATGCGCGTTCATAAAGATTTTTTTGAGAAGTACTATAACTCACCATGAGATTAAAGACCCTTGTATTTCATATATATATAAGTAAAAAGATAAGTATACAACCTAACATAAAAGATAAAATGATAAGACTAAGTGATAAGAATAATAAAAGGATAATGCTATCTATTTACTAATCTAAAAATTCTACAAATTTCTTTGAGTTTGAATTGTGATCCTCAGATTTCTTTGAGTTCGAGTTGTGATCCTCAGTATCTTCATTAACATGCCCCCTCAAACTAGGTCGGGGATCAGAGCAAAGGGCAAGTTTGGTTCGAAGATCTAGGAAAGAATGTTTGGGCAGTGGTTTGGTGAAGATATCAGTCAATTGCTTGTGGGAGGTAACAAATTGAGTTTCAAGAGAACCAAGAGCCACTTTTTCTCAAACATAATGATAATCAAGCTCGATGTGTTTTGACCTTTCATGAAAGACTGGATTAATTGTCATATGTAAGGCACTAATATCGTCACAGTGCAGCAAGGGAGGTCTAGACAATGGGACATCAAAATCACAAAGAAGAAAGGTCAGCCAGGTGAGTTCAGCAGCAGTGGAGGCCATAGACCAATATTCGGATTCAATACTAGACCGAGCAATAGTGGGTTGCTTCTTTGCACTCTAAGAAATGCAGTTGCTACCAAGAAAGGTACAAAATCCAGTGGTAGAATGTCAACTTAGTGGACAACCTGTCTAATTGGCATCGAAGAAGGCATATAAATCTAGAGTGCTAGAAGCCAGGATATGTAATCTTAAGTGAGCAGTTTCATGTATATATTGTAGAATATGTTTGACAAGTTTGTAATGAGCCATGGTTGGGGCATGCATAAACTGACAAACGAAGTTGACACTATAAGCAATGTCAGGGCGTGTAAAGCTGACGTATTGCAAACCACCCACAATGCTACAATAGTGACTAGGATTAGGATATGGGTCATCTGGGAAATATAAGGAGCGATTGTGAGAAGGCATGGGTGTGGATATGGGTTTGCAAGAACTCATAGAATCACGATTCAAAAGGTCCATGGCATATCATGTTTAAGAAAGGTAAAGACTTGAAGCAAGCTTATGAACTTAGATGCCTAGAAAATGGTGAAGAAACCCTAAGTCTTTGATTGCAAATTCATCAGCCAACTAAGATATTAGATAGTTTATCTGAGATGAAGAGTCACCACTAATAATCATATCATCCACACAAAGGAGGAGAACAAGGATTCCATGTTGGGATTTACAGATAAAAAGACTGGGATTAGCACTGCTGTAGTAGAAGGCAACGGTGAGAAGAAAGTCACTGAGCTGATCAAACCAAGCTCGTGGAGCTCTTTTCAGGCCATACGAGGCACAAATTAATTTACACACGTGCATGGGATGAGCGGGATCAAGGTAACCAAGATGTTGCTTCATATAAACTGGGGTAGAGAAGAATCCATGAAGGAAAGCATTTTTGACATCTAGTTACCAAATCTCCCACCCTTTGACAATGACAACTGTCAATGCGAGTTGAATGCTTGCTGGTTTGATAACTAGAGAAAACGTTTCAGAAAATTCAAGACCTTCCAATTGAGTAAATCCCTTGGCGACAAGCCGAGCTTTAAGTCGTTCGAGGGATCCATCAAAATGTAGCTTAACCTTATATACCCATTTGTAATACATGACATTTAAGTCAAGGTGTGATGGAACAAGTGACTTGATTCGAAATGTGTACACCCAAGTACAGGCAGTCAAGTTGTAGTAATATTTCGGTTAAGTCCGGAGTCGAATTCACAGGGAACTATGATTGGTGTTTTGAAGTAAGCAATAATAGAGACCAAGTAACTGAAAATTTCAAGAGTTTGGAGTGGTGGGGTTTTCTTGAATAGAATAGAAGATTCTTTTCAAGAGTTTTCTAGACAAAATATAAAATTCTCAAAATGTAACAGCCACCCTTTAGCTCGAGGATCAGGACATGTAATAGAGTATCTGTTTTATTATGTTTGTGCTTTATAACTCAATTAACTCCTGTGTCAACAACAAGTTAATAGGAAGATAAAGATGGACTGTGAGAATTAAGCACATGATTCCGTTGTCTTTCTAGAAGTTTACAAGAATTGTATGCGCCGAGACTTAACCCGTCTACAAATAAGCAAGTGTTTCTACAAGGCATTCAACTGTGGTATTAATGATCCATTCTTCGAATAAAGCGCAATAATGGTGGGGATTGAAAGGTTATCATGAAGAGCTAGCTGGGGTACTTGCCTTGAACCAACGGGTCTTTCTATGCAGGAGTCATCTGTATCATAGAGGGAGCCCTTGGTTATACAAAGTACCTCAACTTTGCTAGATACATTCAATCATCCAATGAACAGGTGGAGTATAAAGCATTAAAGTATGGATAAGTTGCACAAACATAACTTCCAGATAATCTTTACATATTCATCACCTCTTACTAAAGAGTGAATGAGAAACTACT